CCACACCTGCAAAGCTCTGTAACCCTGAACCCACTGGGTGGGCTGCCTTCAGACAGCCTTGCCAAGCAAGCTCCTGTCTGCCCTGCCTGGATGCTAACTTCCTTCTGGCTCCCCCCCCGCCCCAGCCGAGCCCTCATCCCATGGTGCTGCTGTGCAGCACGCCCTGGCTGGCTGCTGCGTTTCAGTGCTACTGAATAGCCATCATTCACACTGGGGGCCAGGCTACGCAGTGTGCCCCTTCCGACCCCCAGTCCTTCCTCCGCTGGCCCTTGTGCTACTGAATATCCATCATTCACACTGGGGGCCAGGCTACGCAGTGTGCCCCTTCCGACCCCCAGTCCTTCCTCCGCTAGCCCTTGTGCTACTGAATAGCCATCATTCACACTGGGGGCCAGGCTACGCAGTGTGCCCCTTCCGACCTCCAGTCCTTCCTCCGCTGGCCCTTGTGCTACTGAATATCCATCATTCACATTGGGGGCCAGGCTACGCAGTGTGCCCCGTCCAACCCCCAGTCCTTCCTCCACTAGCCCTTGTGCTACTGAATATCCATCATTCACATTGGGGGCCAGGCTATGCAGTGTGCCCCTTCTGACCCCTAGTCCTTTCTCCGCTAGCCCTTGTGCCAGCACAGGGTGGGAACAAGTCTGCTGTATTTGACGTGCACAGCATGTACTAGAGGGGAGCTGTGCCACTTAGGAGGTGTGAAATAAGAACAAATCTGGATCTTGGCACAAAATGTGAAACCAGGTTTGACACCAAATGTTGTGCAGATTCATAAACATCCGCATGGATCCACATGTTCAACTGTGGCGTCTCATTCTGAGGGCCTTTGTTTTTGGTTGCTCAACTTAAACATCATCATCATTAAACTGATTTCCAGTAGGTGGCCCACTGTAGTGAGAAAGACAGTTCTTTGTGACTTTGTTTCCCCTCCCTCTCTTTGTCTGTCTAATTGACTGCCATTGTGAGCTCTCCAGGACAGGGCCTGTCTCTCACTATGTGTCTGGGCCTTTAGTTGCTACTGTAACATTGCTGGGCTTTAATCTTCCCCTCAGAGGCTGCTACTGCTGTTTCCAGAGTTCTCATTTTATCTCGTCCTCCTACTAATCGTGGAAACCGTGGCATGTTATTATTATGATTTAGGTCAACTCTTGTGACATTATCACATGTCCCATGATATTTGGAGTTTTCTTAAAGACCCAGCTCCTGGAGTCAGGTGATTAAGTGAGAATCTCAGCCCTTGCTTTTTTTTAAAAAGTAAGTTTCCAGCCTTCATGGCCTCAGAGAAAAGCTTGAAATGTAATCCCAGTGCAGCCTAAAGGCTCCAAAACTAAAAGGCAAAGAAAAAGAACCTCAAATTCATCATTATTTTTTAAAATCTCATTTTTGTTTTTTGCAGCCTGACTCATGAATTTGGAATGGATTGGAGCTGGCAACATTGATAGTACACTTTGGAACTGAGCATGGTGTGAAAGCCTGGATAGATAGATAGATCTCCATAGTAATCATACAGCACCCTAGGGGCATCCAGGGGAAACAGCAGATCAATTGTCTGTCATTCTAGCCAATGCACACGCGGTGGCTACAGGCGGGCAGCAAGGATAGGCAGTCAGGGTACAGGCAGGGACACCATTTCAGATTTCAATGGGGAGGAGGCAACTTTCAGCTGAGGTCCAGGTGCAGCGCCCCCTATACTTGGGAGTCTCGGGGGACATAAAGCCCCCCAATAGGCATGGTGTGATGGAGGGGCAGCCAGGCCAAATTTGAGTGGTGTTGCAACCCCATGTGCTAGGTTGTAATGCCACTCAAATTTGGGGTGGCTGGACAGGTAACCTGGATCCCCTAATTAGCAAAATTCTGTTTACATCCATGGCTCATCTATGAGTGGGGCTAGGCCTGCGTTCCAGAATATTGGTGGGATCAGGGGACCCTTGGATCCATATGGCCTGGTGCACGGGGCTCCCTGCCCAACCTAAATTGCCGCCGTGGTATAAGGTGCAGTGGGTAGTGGAGGCAGTATGGACTAACAGTTAGCATTAGAAAGTGGGAGCCAGAACATCTGAGTTTTATTCCCAACTCGGCCACTGAGTTTTTGGGCAAGTCCTCCCCCCTCCCCGTGCCTCAGTTTCCTCAGCTGTAAAATGGGGACAACGGTACCTGCTGTGCTGAGATGAAGGGCGTGCATTCAGGGGGGATCCTCAGGAGGGCAACGCTGGTTTAAAGTCACCCCGCCTCCCCAAATCCGGGCACGCTCTCCCCCCGGGCGCATGGCCGAGGGACCCCCAGCCCATCGCTTTCCATCCCTGCCCCTCCTTCTCCCCGGCCCCCGAGGGAGGCCGCCTCTAGCCCCCCAGCCTCGCCGGGCGCGGCGGCCAGGCGGGGCTCCCGTTAGGGATGCTCCGGATCCTCTGTGCGCAGCCTCCTCCCGCGGCTCGGCTTGTTGTTCTGGCGAGGGCTGGGAGCCGGGGCGCCCCCGGGTTTGCGCTCGCTGCTGCAGCCAGCCAGTCCCCTCCTCCTCCAGTGCCGGCCCCGGAGCGGCGGCGGCCGCAGCGCAGCGCAGAGCTGAGCCCGAGCCGGAGCCGGAGCGCAGCCACCAGGTGGGTCTGGGGCGGCGGTAAACATGGATCCCCGAGAGGGGGGCGAGCCGCCGCGGGGTGCCGGGAGAGCCAGCAGCCATGGCGGCGAGCGGGGTTTGCAGCAGGGCGTTGGGGAGGGGCGACGGGAGCTGGGCTGGCAGATGGGCCCAGGCTGCAGGGGAAACGTCCCATCGGGGCCTCGTGGGGGCTGTTTGGGAGGCAGCTTTAAGGGACCTTCTTGACCCCCCTGATAGCTGTGCCCAGAGCCTTGCTATAAAGGAGGAGAAAATGGAACCACCCCCCCCCCCGGGTAAAGGGCACCTCAGCCCTGGCACCAGTGCCGCTCGGCCGGGCAGGGCTGGGCGAGACGCTGCCCAGCTCGCTTGGTGGCTCTGCTGTAAGCCCCCTGCTCCTTCTGTTGCTTGGGGTGGGACAATGAGTGTTGGGGACCGGCCGCTTGGATCCTTGGGGTGGGGTATGTGCGTCTGGGGATCCCTTCGTCTGTCCAAACACCCCAGGGACCCGAATTGGCTGCTGCTTCCCCTCACACACGTACAGGGTGGGGAGGGACATACGAGTGGCAAGTGCCTGTCGTGCCCCAAATCACTGCTACTGGCATGCTCGGAGTGGGGGGGCGGCAGGCTTTGCCGGTGACCTCGTTTGTGGCGAGGAGACGAGCAGGGAATGCAGACCCGAACCAAGCCCGGGCCCGGGCGGATGGATGGGGGAGATGTAGGAGCTGGGGCGAGTGGCTGAATCCCTGCTGGGGAGCTGTGCCTGCAGCGAAGACGGTAAATGAGAGCTGGGCCGAGGCAGGTTTGACCCGAGGAGATGTGCCAGGCGCTTGCTGTCTGAGGGGCTGTGATGTTTGTTTGCATGGCGGGAGGAGGGGAGGATCCGTGCCGTGGCTTGGCATATTAGCCCCAGGGACTGCAGAGCCTGCCAGCAGGCGAGGAAGGGGTGAGGGGCCTACAGTGCTCTTTAAGCCTATAATAGCATCCCTCTTCTTTATCACACCAATCCCTGCACCCCCACCTCCACCTTAAAGGGACACAAGGCATCAGGGACGATCCTGCATCGGAGGGACGGGCTGGACGGCCCCGCTGGGTCTCTGGAGGATGGGATTTCTCCACTGAGGAGTGAAATGGACATAGATGGGGCTCTGGTCCTCACAGAGCCAGCGGAGAGGGATCAGAGCTCTCTTGGGGGCCAGCCTGGCAGATATGCTAGCTGGATGGATGAGGGGGATGAGGAAGGAGACAGCCCAGGGAGAATGAGCATGGGGTCAGTCCCTGGGCTGGGAGGTGGATATACAGAGGGGGGCAGGGGATGGGAGTCTGCTCTCCCAGACAGAGAGCCCCATCACTGATTGATGCTCTCCCCTTTCAGGCTGCATTCCCCACCTGTCCTCCGGCAGCAGACGGGCCAATTTCTCCCCTTGCTACAGAGATGAGACCTGGCCAGGTGCTGTGGAGCCGTCCATGACAGAGACTGAGCAGCAGGAAGCAAGAAGGAGGGGAGAGGGTTTCCCCTTCTGCAGCAGCAGCTCCTTGTGAGCCCCGGAACGAAGCCCCACCCTACCTCCTCCTCCCTGCCAGGCTCCCCTCACCCCCACTAAAGACACCAGAGCCATCCCCACCAGGCACAGAATGTGTGATTCCGGCTGGGGGGGGATGGCCTCCCCAGGGACAGGTTTCAGAGGAGTCACCTGCAGCGAGCCCCAGCTGTGACCCATGGGGAGGGAGCTGTGATCCAGTCGGAGAGGAAGGGCCTGGCGGGGCAGGGTGCCTGAGGCCTTTTGGGACTGAGTGAGGCAGTCTGTTGGAATTGGGGGTGGGGAAGCAGCTGGAGACTGATCACCCCGGCATGGATTGTGTGGCCCTGCACAGCCTCCCCGAGGGACTGGAGACAGGAGATTCCCGAGACGAGACGCTGGGCTTGGGCTGGCTGTTCTGGGCTCTGCGGAGGCCTCATTACTCATGCTGCTGAGGTCGAGAGCTTTCAGCAGGGCAGCTGGGCTATGGAGGCACACGCCTGAGAGCACCAGGGGCTGAGTGTAACCAGAGTCAAGCAGGGTCTCCTATTTGGATGTGAACAGAGGGGCAGCAGGGGCTGGATCATTTTCCTTCTGCTCCCACCAGCTGCACCAGGACTTTGGAGCACCAGGGATTGGGCGTGGCCAAGATGCTCGCTCCAGCCTGGCTCCATGTGTAGTTAAGAGACTAGACAGCCTCTGGGCAACTGGGATCATTCCTCCGGGGCCGGCACGTTGCAGGGACACTGCTCGTTCCTCATCCATGCTGCTTTCGGAAGGACTCTGAAGCCAGAGGTCGAGCCAGTCAGGCCCAGAGAGCCACCCCCAGAGGGCAAGGGGCCTGGGAGGATGCCCTCCTGCTGACTTCCCTGTCTCCAGCCCCTCTGCTGCCTGCTGACCTGGCGGCATGTTGCGGCCAAGCTCAGGGGTGTTGATCTCGGTGAACGGGCTGGGCTTCCCACCGCAGAATCTGGCCCGCGTGGTGGTGTGGGAGTGGCTGAACGAGCACGGGCGCTGGCGACCCTACACAGCGGCCGTCTGCCACCACATTGAGAATGTGCTGAAGGAGGATGCCCGGGGTAGCGTGGTGCTGGGGCAGGTGGATCCCCAGCTGGCTCCGTATATCATCGACCTGCAGTCCATGCACCAGTTCCGCCAGGACACAGGTAGGGAGGGGCTCTGTGTGTCTGTGGGGCGTGGCCGGGGCGCGGGCTGGCCAGGGGTGTGCTAAGATCTTGGGGTGATGTGGGGAACTGCCAGTGGGGTTGGGCTTCAGGGCTCACCGAGACCCTCAATCTCTGCTTGGGTTGGGTGTAGGAGTTGCACGCCTCTGCCTGGTAAAGACGGGCATGGGGCTGATCTGATCCCTCATGGCACTGCCGTCATCCAGCCAGGAGAGCAGAGTGCAGCTGGTGCTAGCCTCAGCCGTGGCTCTGGAGACAGTGAAGCGGCCCAAAAGGAATACACACACTTGTGCATGTCGAGAGAGATGGGGATTAACCACAACTAATGTTTATCGAGGCCAGGTGGAGGAGAGCACATCTTTTACTGGACCCATGTCACAGAGCTCTTCCTCAAGGCTGGGAAAGGAACTCACAGCCAAATACAGGGGAGGGGACGGATTGTTTAGATATTACCTCACCCACCGTGTCTCTCTAGTATCTTGGGACCAAAACAACCACAACAACACTGCCAACAATATCTGTGTGTCCGTCCATTGCATCCAGCCAGCCCTCCAATTGGTGTCCATATCTGTCTGCCTGTCTCTGCCTAGGGTGACCAGACAGCAAGTGTGAAACATCGGGACGGGGGTGGGGGGTAATAGGAGCCTATATAAGAGAAAGACCCCAAAATCAGGACCGTCCCTATAAAATCGGGACATCTGGTCCCCCTATCTCTGCCTGCCACGTGCCCCTCTCTGTCTGTCTGCCTGGTTCGGTTCTGCTTCTCATCGTCATCAATTCTCATTGCCACCCTAGAAAAGTCTCACGTGAGCTCATTTCCTCTCCCCTTCCCCCAGGGCTGCTGGGAGATGTCCCCCCTTCTCGATCCCTGACCATCCCCCACATTCTGGGAACGCAAATACTGCATCCCATGAGACACCCTGGCTGCCATGTGGGGACTGAGGTTTGGTGGGGGATGTCACTCCTGGACTCTCATCACTTTGGCATAGGGGAGGTTGGCCCCAATGACCTCGGGGAGTGGTGGGAGGTGGCTGCCCTGAGCTCTGGTGTCTCCTGCTGGCCTAACTGTGGCATGGTGCTTGCGGTGTTTTCGGAGAGGGGGAGTGCTGTGGTGGGAGGCCAACCTGCAGGGGGTGAGAAAGGGCATTAGAAGGAAGGGTGCACAGAGGGGCTCAGATATCTGGAAGGGAGGCAGCAAAATGCAGATCCTGCTGTGGGCCAAAACCCCAAATGAAGGAGATCCCCAGAATCGGCTCAGGGAGCTTAAAATGAGGTTGAATCAGTTCCTTCCACATGGATGACACTGCCCCCAACCAGAGGCTGGTGAGCTGGCTGAGAGAGGAGAGCAAAAACCCAAGGCACTATTTCTGGTTCTGACACCAGCCTGCTGTGTGGCCTGGGGCAAGTCCCTGCCTCAGTTTCCCCCAGCCCTATAGAATGGGGATGACGACACCCACCCACTGGAAAGGGCAATGCTATGTAATATGCTTCTGCCGCTGGCTCTTCATGGGGATAACCTGGAGGGGAATGTGGGTCTGTAAGGACGGACTGTCCTGAGAATGGGAAGCCACGGCGAGGCGGGGGAGCAGGGTGGGGATGGGAGCACTGCACAGTTGGGTATCTGCTGCCTGCACGTAGCCTGTGTGGAGTCCCTTCCTGGGACACTGGGGCTCTCTTTTAGGCTAGGCTGGGGTTGGCGGGAAAAGGGCTGTCTGCAGGACAGCTTGTGGCGGTGTCTGGCATGGGGCGCAGTACAGGAAGGAGGGGTGAAATTCAGAGATGTGCCCATCAGCTGGATTCCTGTCTCCAGACTCCCCCAAAAGGTGCCAATGACACCTGCAGGCCCCTGGCTCCAGGGGGGCCCTGTTTCAGCAGGGGCAGGGAGGGTCCCCTGCTCGCTGTACTCTCTGTGCCATGGCTGAGGTTACAGAGGGTGGGGACGCTAGCTCTGTGCACTGGGCTTGTGCTCTTTGTGTGACGTGTGGTTTGCTGTTCCATTGCAGCTCTGACCGGGAGGGGACTGGGCGTTAGAGATGTCACTAGCGGCTGTATTGATGTGATCACCCCTCCTCTCACTGCTGCTCCCTTGCTGCATGGGCAGCTTCCCATTGCCAGCCTGTGATGGGGCATCCTCCCCCCATTCAGCCCGCTAGGCTGCGAAAAGGGCAGAATTAAGCTGGAGGAAGCTCATTAAAAGGCAGCTCCCCTGTGAGGGAACAGGCCTGGCTCCACCAAAGCCAGGAGGCTGGGAAGAGTGCAGCAGGGAGGAAGCCTGCAGCCCAGTAGGAGGGAGCGGGGTGAGAGCAGTACAGGGTGGAGATGCACACCTCAACTGTTCATGCCAGCCCTGGACTGGCACCCAGCACAGAGAGCAGGCCTGGGTTCCCATACCAGCCACTGCCGCCTGGCACTGCTTGGGGGCAGTGACTAGGAAGACTGCCTGAGTCACTGGTGGAGTGACAGGGTCAGGGCAGCGGGCTGCCTGATGCTGTGTGGACAGAAGAGACTTTGAAAGACACCCGGGAAGGGGACCCCCCCCAGTGACCTGCCTGGAAGGCTGACTCCCCAAAGGGTTGCAGCAGCTCCTGGTGCGAGGGAGGGGCTGCAGACGAAGAGGGAGAGATGTGGAGATGGAGTGAAACCACAGGAAGGGGCGTTGACTGTACCGAGCTAATGCCCAGAACGGCTAGGAGGAGGTACCACCTGCGGTGAGCAGAGCCCCCCCATCACACAGCCCTACCTGTTATGGTCAGTGCAGAGGGTGCATTCTGCCTAGGTGCCCAGTCTGCTGGTGCCTTCCACCTGCATCTATCTATCACTGTAGATGTTTTCCACTGGGCTGGCCCTGGCACGCTGGCCAGCGTGGCTGGTGCCCAGCAGCACAGATGGATCCAGAATGTCTGGTGACCTTGTTGTTGGCGGGTGCTCCCAGGCTACATGCATTGTACCTGGCTTTAGCTGGAACATTAGGGAGCAGGGCAGATGGGTTCAAAGCTTGGTGCATCTGTAACTTTCAGCAGCAAAGCAGGTGCATTTCAGCTGGATGTACCCAGAACATGGTGGCATGGCAGGCAACATTCATCTGATTACAATACACCACATGGCTCTTAGGGGGCATGTTAGATTGTCCCGTGTCTGTGCCCTGACTTTCAACAGCCTCTCTTGAATATCTTCTAACATTGGTAACATTAAAAAGAACAGGAGTACTTGTGGCACCTTAGAGACTAACAAATTTATTTGTTTTATTAACAAATTTATTAGTCTCTAAGGTGCCACAAGTACTCCTGTTCTTTTTGCGGATACAGACTAACACGGCTGCTACTCTGAAATTGGTCGTGTGGGCTCCCCACAATTAGCCTCCCACTGCTTGTGCAGGGCAGACTTGTGGTGTACCATTAGTCTATAGATTTGTGCACACCAGCTTTTGTACAGCACCTAGCACACGGGATCCTGGTCTGTGACTGGGGCTCCCAGGCACTGCTGCAATAAGTAAATGTACAAAGCTGTTGTTGTTAATTACATCCTGTGGCAAATGGCCAATGCTATTGTGGTGGGTCCCATATTTTTCCTTGGGGTCAGGGCGCGGTCTCTGTCCCGGACCCTATTCTTGGGCTCTGCTAGTGTCCTGGAGGGGGAGAGAAAGGGAGCAGGGAAGGGACCCAGATCCGCCCCCTACTCTGGTCCCAGCCCCTTCAGCTTCACAGGCTTCTTACCCTCTCTCCCCATGGGCTGGGTTTTGCTCAGTCCTCTGGGCTGGGGGAGTTCCACTGCCCTGCTCGGGCAGGGTTTCCCTTCCCCGGTCCTCTGATTGTCTGGTCAAGCCCAGTCAGCTCCAAACCACAGTCAACTCTCCTTCCCTCCTCCTGTGTAACCAAAGCAGGGGTTTTATTAGGTCTCGGGGGAAGGGGGGGCTTAATTGGCTCCAGGTGCTCTAATTAACCTGTAGTCACCTCTCCTTAGTCCACAGGGAATAAGGCTCTGGTGATCCTGGGGCTTATATACCTCCCATTGATTACTCTCCTGCTGCCCTCTGGCCCTGCTGTACCACAATATATTTATTGCAGCGCCTGTCCAGATACTGGCCTCTGCCCAAGGATCAAAACCACAACAAGAACAAATACCCTTAACGGAAATAAAACATCCAGTCATGTACTCTGAGATTGACCCACAGTAAAGCACAGCCTCTGTAGGAATATACCCTAACTGATACACAAGAACTCCAGCTTACAACTAATACCTGGAGCTACATTTTACACAACATCTAACTGACCTGGAGAACTTATTTCCACAAGATGCTGTGGAGCTCAGTAGGGTTCAGAAAAGGATTGGATATTTCTGTGGCTAATGAGGACATCTCCAGTTACATGAGAAGTGGTAAAACGTTTGTTGTTAGAAAGGACACAAACTCTCATGCTTCAGGGCATGAGTCAATCACAAACAGATGGGGTCAGGCAGAAACTTCCCCTCTGAGAAGGGTTATTCCATAATTGTCCAGTAGGGGTTTCCTTGTACCTTTCCTCTGAAGCAGCTGGTGCTTGTCAGGCTGAGACAGGGTGCTGGCCTAGGTGGACCCCTGGACTGATCCAGTCTGGTAGTTCCTGTGTTATATGCCCATATGCAGAGAATCACCTCCCCAGAGTCAATCACCCCCAAATCCTTCACCCCTGCTCCTCCCAGAGAGCACAGCTCTGTATTAGCCCAATTTGATACCCAACAATGTGCTGACCCATTTATGTATAGACATATCTGACATCTACAGACACGGTGCCCTACGCCTTAGACAGATACACATGTATCAACACCAAAGATAGATAGATCATAGGTACTGCCTGAATGGTTTGGCTTTATAAAGTATTATTTGCAGGCGCCCGTCCAATGGTCCGAGCTCTCTCACAACACATCAAGCAATCATAGAATCATAGAAGATCAGGGTTGGAAGGGATCTCAGGGGGTCATCTAGTCCAACTCCCTGCTCAAAGCAG